TATTTTGGAATAATAAGCATTTTGATTGGGACGACAAGTGCGAAGAGGCGTTTGCACAGTTGAAGGAGTACCTAACCACCCCGCTAATATTAACAAAACTGGAGGATGACGAGACCTTGTACCTTTACATCGCAGTTTCGACAGCGGCAGTACGATGTCCTTGTCAGAGAAGATTGCGACGAACCAAAACCGATCTTCTATATCACCAAAACTCTGGATAGAGCCGAAATTCGTTACCCGGCTCTGGAAAAACTCGCTTATGCAGTAATTATCTCGGCGCAAAAATTACGACCCTACTTCCAGTCTCACACCATCGTCGTCTTCACCAGTCAACCACTTCGGAGCATTCTACACAGTCCAAGTCAGTCCGGCCGAATGGCTAAATGGGCGATAGAGTTGTCCGAATATGTTATCGAGTATCGCGCTCGCACAAGCGCCAAATGTCAAGTCTTGGCAGACTTCATGATCGAAATACCACCAGACCTACTAAATGATGAGACACCCGCCGAAAACTGCTGGAACTTGTACGTCGACGGCGCATCCTCAAAGCAAGGTTCAGGAGTCGGCATCTGTTTGAAATCACCAACAGGAGAAGTCCTTGAATAATTATTCAAGCTCGGCTTCCCTGCCTCGAACAATGAAGCTGAATATGAAGCTTTGCTCGCAGGGATTTGGCTCGCCAAAGAAGTAGGAGCGAAAAATATTCACGCATTTTGTGATTTCCAGCTCGTCGCCAGCCAGTTCAAAGGAGACAACGACGTGAAGAACGAGCGAATGGACGCTTACCTGAAGCAGGTCCAGAAAATAACAAAGCAATTCGACTCCTTCGAATTAACGAAAATCCCGGAACTGACAACACCGCCGCCGACGCGCTGGCAGAATTAGCATCAAAAAAAGATCATGCACTTCGCCGAACAATTCCAGTAGAAATCATCTAGCAACCTAGCATCCAGCTATCCAAAGGATCTTGCAACATGGTTCTTCAACAGGAAGATGAAGCGGACGACCCAATGGAAGTAGATTCCGAACAACAAAAGCAATCTTGGCAGGATGAAATTAAGTCCTACCTATCTGATGGAATAGTCCCGCAAGATAGATGGGCAGCTAGGCGTCTCCGGAGGAAAGCAGCGCATTACTTCATTTAGGACGGCAACCTGTTCTGATGGACAGCAAACAAAGTGATACTACGGTGCTGCGATAATGCACAAGCAAAGAAAGTAATGGTCAAAACTCATGAAGGAGCAAGCGGCAACCATTCAGGAGGAAGAGCACTAGCCTTGAAAATAAAGAAGCATGGGTTATTTTGGCCTCAAATGATCCAAGACTGCAAACAATTCGTACTACGGTGTGAACTGTGTCAGAAACACGCACCCATCATCAACGCACCCACCAAGCTCCTTCAAACCGCCATTCCACAATACCCCTTCATGACATGGTCAATGGATTCAATCGGTCCAATGCCTAAGTCAGGTCGCAATCAACACATCCTGGTTATGACGGATAATTTTACCAAGTGGATTGAAGTTAGAGCATACCCCAGCATTAAGGCAATGGAGGTCCAGCTTTTCGTATGGGAAAACATCATATGCCGACATGGCCTGCCATACGAGATCGTCCCGGATAATGGCACGCCATTTACCTGGTCGACTTTCCAAAATTTTTGTGAGGGTTGGGGAATACTCATAAATTACTCAACGCCTTGCTATCCACAAGGAAACGGACAAGCGGGGGCTTCTAATAAAACTATTCTCGACGGCCTTAAGAAGCGATTAACAGACCTAGAAAGAAGGTGGGCAGATGAACTAGACGGGGTCCTCAGGTCCCACCGAACGACTCCACAAACTGCAACAGGAGAAACTCTTTTTTTGCTGTCTCACGGCTGTGAGGCGTTAGAACCCGCCGAAGCACATGTACCGAGTGCTCGAAGAACCTTAATGGTTTAGAACCCGCAACTAAATGACGAGAAGCTAATCAATGCTTTGGATGGCTTAGAAGAACTTCACGATAAAGCCTTATTGCGCATTCAGAACTATCAGCAGCAAATCTCTAGATACTACAACAAGAAGGTACGCAGCCGATTGTTCTCGCTTCATGACCTCGTTTTGCGGAGGGTTACGAACCCTACAAAACTTAAAGCAAATTGGAAGGAACCATATCGCATCACAAACCTCGTCAAACCCGGCGTCTACAAACTGGAAAAAATGTATGGAAAACCAGTCAAGCGAGCACAAAATTCGATGAATTTAAGGAAGTACTACCCTTAGAATACACTGCTCGGCATTTAAGTTTACAATTTTTGCCAAGAACTATGAATGACTTGATCCTGTTTTGGGTACGTATGCAGCCTTCGGGTTCAGTCACTATCCTAATAAAATTACCTTTAACTTTGTTAACCAGCTCAGCGTTCAAAGTAAAAGATAGCTACTGGTCCAAATTGACCATAAAATCAGCTCGGCACGTAGAGCAATCTTCCTCGTGCAAATGCATCTTGCTAAATCGATGTTCTGGCCAAATATTCGATTCAAAAAAGCAAACAGCAAATATTAAATTAGTGGCTGATCACCACCCCTTTGATACTTTGGTTAGATTTAATTACTTCCGAAGTGGATAAGACGAAAGCCGAAGACAATACTTGCACGACCCTCGATTATACCTTTCAGGCCGAAGTGAATCCTCAAAGCTTGGTATTCGATCTTGACTGTCGTTTGGTATAAGACAAGCGAATGAATTTTGCTTCCAGCACTGGCCTAAAGAATGCCCTCACACCGTAAGACAAAAGAAAACTTTTTGACTTCGCAAAACCCTCGAAGATAAGGGTCACCTCGTCAACGACCAAACCAAAATATTACGATATTATTCTGATCTGAATTACTTCTTTTCATTAAAAAGGAGAAAACGTTTATCTCGCATACATTTTTCAAAAAAAAAAGGGGAAGGACGAAACAACAACTATGAAAATCATTACAAAAATAAATAAATAAAAAAGAAGAAGAAAAGAGAGAGCTCAACGCTGCTTCGGCACTTGAATCCTGGCCACCTCCAACTCCGAGTCAGATGGTCGCATATGAACTCGTGTTGGAGCGGTGAAGTCGTCCTAAGTAAGCGGAGCATCCTTGATCCTGTGACGCTTCATCTTCAAATGGTCAGCATTAGCAGAGTGGGACAGAAGTTCCTTAACCGGAACCTCATGTCGCGCCGACCTCAACTGCTTGTAGCAATCCGCTCTCACCTCGGCATCAACGATCTTAAGCTCGAGTCGGTGGATGTCAGGCTCATGCGCCATAAACGCCTTAATCCGCTCAATGCAGGGTTCGTACCACTTGTGCGAACGTCGGTACATCAGGTCGACGACATGCTCAACAAATTTGCGTTGTTGACCTCGAAACTCCTTCTCGGAGGCAGCTGCATTCTTGTTTTCTTCGGCCGCCCTTTTCTCCAAACTTTTCCTGTGGAGTTGTCTTTCTTTAGCGGATTCGACTTTAAGAGCCTGATATTTAAGCTTCTCGCGCTCAAGCTCTTTGATCTTCGCCAAAGCGTCACGAAGCTCTCGATCTTTGACTGTTAGTTCCTCGTCTTTTTTTTCCTTCTCGCACCGATTCTCAGACATACGAATCAATCAAAGATGCGCACAGGCCGAGCCCCTGCACAAAACGCTGAGCCATTCCAGAAAAGCAAGCGAACCACTTTAGCTTTTCCACCGACATCCCTTGGTTCGGCTTCTTCCTACATTTTCAGACTAAATTCGCCGCAAAATATTCGTTAAGCATTATCGGGGAATCCCCGCTTCAGCGAAGCAAAAACTCGTGAGGATTAAAATCGGGATCCTCGTTGACCCCCTTCGGGTCTCTCGGCAAGCTGCTCGACGGACCTGGCGAACTAGTTTCTTGCTCCTCCGTCGTCATAAATACAGAATCTTGCTCCTCGATTGGCGATACGACCTCCGGATCCTCTGTTGGAATTTTTGGAGGTGATCGCGCATTCGCGACAGCCGCGCCGGGCTTGTTTAGCGGAGTATCTTCAACGACGGTTGGATCCTGCGATGGAGCCTTTGAACTGGGCTTCTTATTCGGAGAGAAATCGGGCATGTCAATGTCCAATGAAGGAGTCTTGTCTCTCTTCCTTAACCCCATGCCTCTAAAAAGATGTGCTCAACCAAGATCCAGAATCAAAAGAAGAAGAAAGTAGATCGTTGAGCAAAGGAGATTATCGCAAAAATTAGGGAGAGTGAAAATTGTGGAGCAGAAAAACGAAGAGATAAAAATTTAATAAAAGGAAATCGATAGAAATATCAACAGTTTCCTAAAAAGACGCGTGTCGAGATTCGCACAATCTTACCGTCTTGCAAACCCTTTGTCTTTTCCGCTTGAGGCAAAACCCTAATGGGTCGAAATATATAATAAATTATTCAAAGGAAGCGCCACGTGTCAAAACCACGTAAAAATGGGCTAAGCTGGCCATCGTGAAGAAACGCTCTTGACGAACTAATGCTTATTGCAAGCTCAAACCCATTTAACTTCATGAAGTCCCCTGACCTGATTTACAATCAGTCTCGCCGAACTGGGAGGGACTTACTGTTAACCAAATCCTTAAAGGTGAGTTTTTAGTTTAATATCATCTAATCACCATTTGTTATCCACTCACGAACTAATTATCCACTGATTAATTGTACCAAATACTAAGCTCTAGTATTCCTTTAATCGTTAGTCTTATTTTATTCTTGTTTTTATGTTTTTTCACTTCTTCTTTTTTTCTTTTAATCAAACAAGCAATTATATTATCTTACTCTGCATCAGAGGAAGAGTTATTCATGGCCATAAAAACAGAATATGATATATAAACTGAAGATAGGAAAGTACAACAAAGCCACCCACAACAGAATAGAAATCACAACAACAAAACGAAACAAAAACAAAACAAAACAAAAAAAACTAAAAGTCAGGTACCTTACACAGCAAGAAACATGAAAATAATTGCAAATAAGCATACAAACGAGTACAACGTTAAAGATGAAGGGAGGCGACTTCGTCTGCTTTCCATAGCCCTTCCTCGTACTTATACCATCTCATGATCCCTTCGTCCTCCTCCATCCTCTGACACATCACACAAGTATCGCGCTCCATACAAGTTATGAATCGTTTCAGTTTCGAGGCCTTGTTCATTATCGTCTTGTCAAGCTCCTTAACAATGATCGTCTCCTGTCGCAGGAGGTAAGAATGAGAAATGTTGAGAACTTCGAGGCTTTCCATTTTATCCAAAATTGTTATGAGTGCATCTTGGTCTATGGAATTGCATCTGAGGCTGATGACTTTGAGATCCGGGAGGAGCTGCACGAGCACCTGGACGAAGGAGAGGTTTATTGGACCCATCACCTTGAGCTCTCTGAAATTCTTGCAGTTCATGGCTATCGATGAAAAGACAGAATACGGCTTCGAGATGCTTGGCATTGTCAGTGATTCTAGGCTCTTACAGCATTGTATGGCATTGGATAAACCCTTCTTCTTTATTCTGTTCCAAGCCGGTAGCACTAAACGTCTCAAGTTTGGACACCTTTATCAATATTAAGTAGAAAGATTCAATACAGTAAAACTTGAAACTATAAAATTTTATTAATTTATATACATATTATTTAGCTGATAAATTAATTTTATAACTGAAATATATATATTAATTTATCGAGTATTAGTTTGTACTAAAATACGTATAAGAAAATGGCAAAGAAAGTATATGTTTTGAAAATGAGATCGTGATAAGTGAATATTAATTACCTTATTGCGGTGTAAGTAAGCATGTAATCATTCAGAAACAAGTTGAAATGGACGATCATCGTCCTTGTGTTTCCCTTGCTAAGACTCATGGAGAGTTTCAAGAGCCGAGTCAGGTTCTCATCAGAGCGGCTCTCCACGTACACAAACGGCTTTTGTGGGACTTTGATGAAATTAGATTTCATGTGAGATAGATCGAGCGTGTTCCACAGATAGATCGAGCGTGTTCCACAGAATAGTCTTAAGAGGTCAAGGCTATGATGGAGTGAGTAACATGAAATGTGAATTTAATGACCTTTGGTCTTTGATTTCAAGGGAAAACAGTTCAAGCGATTATGTTCATTGTTTTACTAATCGACTTCAATTGGTTGTAGTGGCAGTTGCGAAGAGACATTTTCAAATTGGTGATTTTTTTGATATGATTTCTATATTGTTGTATGTGGTTGGAGCTTGATGTAGGATTGGAAATGGACCAAAACTACTCCTTGGAATCTGATCTTCAAGCTGAATGTGGTGGAGGAATGACTTGGGGTTTTATAGTCAATGATGCTTGATGGCCCCAAACACCAAAGGTTAGACTCTTCTAACTTCAAGGGCTAATCCACGGAAGAGGTTAGGAGACACTACACGTTCTTATAAGCTTCTGAATCCCTCAAGAAACTTAGTACAAAACGCAGGAACACTTTGAATGCAAAAAAAAATTCTTTGAAAACAAATAACTTTGATTAATTTCTTGAATATTCTGAATATCAAATACAATGGAAATGAGCTTATATAATTCTCAGAAATAAGGTAGAAAAAACGGTAACAAAAAGAATTAAAAGAAAAAGTATAATCTGATAAGAATAGCTTAAGTGATGGGATTTATGGTCTTCTAGTCGTTGTCATAATGGGAGGAATGAGAGCTTGATTTGTGGTGACGAAATGTGAGGATTCATTGACTGGTTTTGATGCTCAGGATGTGATTTAGTGAATGGATGTTCGAGATCTTCAAGTGATAAGAGATTCTGGTCTTGCTTTCCAAAGCTAGTAATGTAATCAAGCTCGGTTAAGGAAAGTAGCTTCTTCTTGGTTTCTTCTTGAATTTGGGATTATTTCTTCTGGTTATTGGCGTGGTTTAGTGATTCTGAATGTCTTGAAATATCTCTTGGTGGTCGAATATAGTGATGGGGTGAATATAGTGTCATGAGTTCCCTCCTTTCCTTAGATAACTCCAATGTTGCTCCAATTGATGGTTTGAGGTGGTTTGGCGGTTCTGACTTGATTTGAGTGGGGTAACTCCGGTTTATAGATTCTATATCTTCATTATACTCCAAAGGTTGGTTGAATGATATGCTGGTAAGTGTAGTTTCCATAGATGACTCCTTAAATACGCATGTTGGTCCTTTCAAGAGCTTTGGTGGTTTAAATAGATTGCCTTGCTTCTTGAATTGAACCGGCTCGCCCTTGGATTGATTAAACTGGTCCTTTTGATGGTTAGAACGAATCAGCTGGTCCTATTGATGCTTAAAACGTTAGCGTTTCAAGGCAATATCTCCATTGCTTTCAGCTACAAGTTCTCCAATCTTCTCAGCTACAAGCTTGGCTCCTTCTGACTTAGCTTCAATGCTCATTCTCTTGACTGGTTCAGTTGTGTATGGTCTGATGCTTACATCAGAGCTTCTTGCAAGCAAAAAGATATGCTTCGAGAAAAATACCGAAAAGATAATATAAAAGGAATCAGTGATGGTGAAATTAACACTATTAAAGGGAAGAATCAAGAGTGTTCCCTTACAAGGTAGCAAATACTTGTTGGGGTTCACATCATAAGACATTGGTGCGTTTGGTCGAGTCAATTTTCAATAGTTATTGAGGTGCTCGAGTATATCCAAAACGAAGGCAGTGATGACTCAAAGAAACGTCAAGCTGCACATTTGATTGTGTGTTCTATATGCAGCTGATGTTGATTATTCTGGGACTAACTGAGAATATATCCATGGCTTTGCAAAAACAAAATCAAGACATATTGAATGATGTTTCATTAGTTCTACAAAGAGAGAACTACAGAAGCTTAGAGATGAGGGATGGGACTCACTTATGGTTAAAGTTTCTTCTTTTTGTGAGAAACATGAGATCGATATAATGATGATGGAAGACGAGTTTGTTGATTCAAGAAGGCCAAGAAAGAAAACTAACATAACTAATTTGCATCATTATAAGATCAATTGCTTCATTGTTTTCTGGATTTGCAGCTTCAGGAGTTTAATGATCGTTTTACAGAGGTAAACACTCAATTCCTTATTTGTATGTCTTCCTTTTGACAAAGATAAGTTGGTAAAGCTGGTTGAGTTCTATCCAGATGATTTTAGTATTTTTGAGTGTTCTTCTCTTGAGCAACAACTTGACATCTACATTGACAATATAAGAGGATGAACGATTTAATAATTTGGAGAGTTTTAGAAATTTTTCTCATGATGGAAACACAAAAACATTTTGCACACCCTCTTGTTTACAGACTTTTGAAATTAGCATTGATTTTACCAGTTGTTACGGCAACAATCGAAAGATGTTTCTCTACAATGAAGTTTGTGAAGGTAACCTCACGCAACAAAATTGGAGATTAGTTCTTAAGTGATTGTTTTGTTTGTTTTATTGAGAAAGAGTTGTTTGAATCAATTACAAATGACACAGTTATGAAAAAGTTTCAAACCATAACTGAATAGAGTGTGTGTGGGCACTTCGGTTTATGGTTTGGTTTCGGTTCGGTTTTTTTGGGTTTTACGGTTTATCGGTTTTACGAAAATTCAAACCATATAAAAGCTATATATATTTCGGTTCGGTATGGTTTGATTTTTTACGGTTCGGTTTGATATGGTTTGGTTTCGATATTTTGGAATTAATACTATTACGAAAGTTTTTGATTCAAACTAATGGAAATAATAATAATAGATATGAGTGAAATAAAACAATAAATCCAAAAAATATAATCTAAATCATAAAAAATTCATCAATAAGGACAGATTTTACAACAGAGAAACAAACAAATTATCAAATCTTTCATAATCAATAATTATAAAACAATAAACAAATCTAGATTAAAATTTAATATCTATAACCTTGGAACTAGAACTAGAAGATTTGAATGTGAAGAAAAAAGAGTTAATCACGTTTTTTTTATTGAAAAATTAAGGTTTACTTTATTATTTATATGTAGATATTTTTTATAAATAAGCCATGAATAAATCATCTTATCACCATTTGTTATCCACTCACGAACTAATTATCCACTGATTAATTGTACCAAATACTAAGCTCCAGTATTCCTTTAATCAGCAACGTTAGTCTTATTTTAGTCTTGTTTTTATGTTTTTTTTTTCACTTCTTCTTTTTTTCTTTTAATCAAACAAGCAATTATATTATCTTACTCTGCATCAGAGGAGGAATTGTTCAAGGCCATAAAAACAGAATACGATATATAAACTGAAGATAGGAAAATATAACAAAGCCACCCACAACAGAATAGAAATCACAACAACAAAACGAAACAAAAACAAAACAAAACAAAAAAAACTAAAAGTCAGGTACCTTACACAGCAAGAAACATGAAAATAATTGCAAATAAGCATACAAACGAGTACAACGTTAAAGATGAAGGGAGGCGACTTCGTCTGCTTTCCATAGCCCTTCCTCGTACTTATACCATCTCATGATCCCTTCGTCCTCCTCCGTCCTCTGACACATCACACAAGTATCGCGCTCCATACAAGTTATGAATCGTTTCAGTTTCGAGGCCTTGTTCATTATCGTCTTGTCAAGCTCCTTAACAATGATCGTCTCCTGTCGCAGGAGGTAAGAATGAGAAATGTTGAGAACTTCGAGGCTTTCCATTTTATCCAAAATTGTTATGAGTGCATCTTGGTCTATGGAATTGCATCTGAGGCTGATGACTTTGAGATCCGGGAGGAGCTGCACGAGCACCTGGACGAAGGAGAGGTTTATTGGACCCATCACCTTGAGCTCTCTGAAATTCTTGCAGTTCATGGCTATCGATGAAAAGACAGAATACGGCTTCGAGATGCTTGGCATTGTCAGTGATTCTAGGCTCTTACAGCATTGTATGGCATTGGATAAACCCTTCTTCTTTATTCTGTTCCAAGCCGGTAGCACTAAACGTCTCAAGTTTGGACACCTTTATCAATATTAAGTAGAAAGATTCAATACAGTAAAACTTGAAACTATAAAATTTTATTAATTTATATACATATTATTTAGCTGATAAATTAATTTTATAACTGAAATATATATATTAATTTATCGAGTATTAGTTTGTACTAAAATACGTATAAGAAAATGGCAAAGAAAGTATATGTTTTGAAAATGAGATCGTGATAAGTGAATATTAATTACCTTATTGCGGTGTAAGTAAGCATGTAATCATTCAGAAACAAGTTGAAATGGACGATCATCGTCCTTGTGTTTCCCTTGCTAAGACTCATGGAGAGTTTCAAGAGCCGAGTCAGGTTCTCATCAGAGCGGCTCTCCACGTACACAAACGGCTTTTGTGGGACTTTGATGAAATTAGATTTCATGTGAGATAGATCGAGCGTGTTCCACAGAATGGGTTCACAGCAAGCCGCACGCCATTCTCTACAAACATGAGCTGATCCAGAGTTCACCAACTCTTGGAGGCTAAAACACTTTTGGAAAATCCTCAATAAGATGTCAATGTCCAGCTTCTCCGATCTAGTGACTACATTTACACGGTCTTCAGCCATTGTAGAAAGCTGAGAGAGTAAAAAAAAAAAAAAAATCTTGAGAGAGTTGTTATAACATTTTTTTTTTTGTTGAGAGAGTGGTAAAAGTGAAAGTAAGTAGTTAAAATAGGAATGGACTGATCAATAATCGACAAAATCAAGAGATGATCATATCAAATATGTTAAAACAACTCTCCATATAGGTAAAGCAATCTTCACAAGCCATAAAGTTTACAGGAGATACCAAATCACAGACTCAAACTCATGAGAACAAGCTAGCATTCTAAATAATCTTATTAAAAAAAAAAACATTCTCAATAATAATATTTATAATTGCTAAGTGATTCTTTTTTGGTAAAAAAATTGCTAAGTGATTCGAACGGCACACAAAATTCTATAATTGTGACGAATCTAATTAGACACACACTAAACAAAGCGGTAGACTCAATGGAGAGACAGAACTGAGGTCAGTTTCATTTAAAAGATGCGGAGAATTCGAGCACAATCAATTTCGAAATCTCGTGATCATTCAATTTCTCCTAATTTTCTGTAAAACCTTACAACCATAAAACATAAAACATCGCAATCCATAAGAAAGAGAGTGTAAGAAAGCATACACAGAAACGAAACGAGGAGGAGGAAGAACTTGGTGATTCTTGTAGTTATGAAGGATCGTTGTTTGTTTAGTTTATATAGAAATGGAAGAAGAGCACTTGGTCTGAGTTCAATACCTCTATTATTATAACTCTGTTACCCAATTTCAACCAAGTCAACAAAACTTGCTTCATATTCATGTACTTTCTAATCAATTTTTATTCAATTCAAACATAAATATTCCGAAAATAACAATAATTGATAACAATAAATTACGCACCAAAATAATTATGCTTGGCAACAGTCAATTACGCGTCAAAAAATTCTAAATTAATTAAACTGCAATATATAATAATTTTGAATTTCTAAATTTTTAACTTATTACCTAAAAATATACTAAGTGATCAGTATGCACCGTGTGCAGGCGTACCAACCACCTCTCTGCTCTTAGAACATATAGAGATTTTGTTTTATAAATATAAATTATCTAATAACTAAAATTAAATTTAGTATGTACTCAAGGTTAACAAAATGTATGTACAACAAATGTATGCACGACAATTATCATGCGATGTACATATATGAATGTAAACTCTATATTGTGATTTATGTTTTTACATAACTAAAATTAACTTTGACTTTTGCATAATTTATATTTATATCCACACGTATATTTGTAAAAAAATCGAAGTATAGATTTTATGTGTGAAAAGAAAATAACAAAGTATATGTTTTGTAATATATATTTTTATAACGTAGGATTGAATTTCAAAAAAAATACGTATATTTATGCATATAGGTATGAGTTATAATTTAGTGAGTTATAATTTAGTGAATTGTAATATTTAGATGTTGGTTAGTTTTTCTGATATTTTTTGTAAACATTATGTTTTTACATAATGCAGTTTTTAGCGTTTAACAACAATCGCAAAAATCACTTCTATCATTTTGTATTTAACTAAAATTCCTAATTTTTCAGCATTTTATGATATATAGTTCTTAATAAAAAAATATAATAAATATTTAATATAAAATTTGTGAAATTGTATTTTAAAAAATTCTCCAGTAACTCTGCGCTCATCTTTACGTCAATTTTTTGTATAGTCCGCAATCGCTCGCTTCTACAAACTCTTTGTAACTGCAGTGTTTATGTGTGTGATTTAAACTTATATGTGTGTGATTTAAGGTATAAAAATAATATATATATATATATTTTTTTTTTTCTTGGGCATAGGCCCTGTAATGTTTCATGTGCTTCAGTTGCTTCAAACCTGCTTGGTCTAAGCTCTCTCCTACTCCTCACCGGCGAAGAGGTACCAGAGATTTTATAAAATATGATTTCACAAATTTTATAATAAATGTTTATTATTATTTTTTATTGAAAAATCATATATCAAAAAAATAATTCTGAAAAATAAGAAAGTTTGATTAAATATAAAACGAGAGAAGCGATTTTCGTGATTGTAGTTGTTAAACACCAAAAACGGCATCGTGTAAAGTTATAATGTTTGTAGAAAATATCAAAAAAACTAACCTACACCTAAACATTACAATTCATTTATTTTTAACATATACCTACATGCATAAATATATGTATTATTTTTAAAAAAAAATTAACCATACATTATAAAAATATATATTACAAATCATATATTTTGTTATTTTCTTTTAACACATAAAAGTCATACCTCGATTTTTTCACTAGTATGTGTATAGATATAAATATTAATTATGCAAAAGTCAAGTCGCATGCGAACTTGTCATGCATATAATTTGTTAACTTTAATTATAGTCTAATTTCCATTTTAGTTATTAGACAATTTATAGTTTTTTAAAAAATCTATAGGATAAGTAAAGATGATAAAACTGTTCGAGAGAAATTTTGGGATGCCACGTGGGGATGTGTGATTCGTCCAGAATTTTTCTATTATTTTTAGTTAAACTTATTTTTGTAAAATAAATAAATTACCACATTATTCATATAGTAAACAATATATAGATTTTTTGCATATGTGTTATAATTCGATTTTTTTTTTTAAAAGTAAATATAAATTACTCAAATTAATAATAAACAAAAGTAAGATTAAAACTTTTTACATTGGAAATGAAGATATATAGATTAAAAGATAAATGATTCATACATAAAAAAAAACATAAATGCTAAAAAAGATTGTAAAAGTAGGAAATTTAATTTAATTAACATTCATTTTAATGTATTTTTGGTTTAATATGGTTTTTAATAGAACCATATATATTAACCAAATAATATAAATAGGAAATGCTCCAAAATGACTCAGAATGATAAAATAATGTGAAATGGGTACCCCGTTGAGGGAAAATTGTGAAAATGACCTTATTTTACAATTTTTTTAAATATCAGCGCTACCCTTCTAACTACTGTTATTTGCAGACTACTTGCAGAGTGAATGTAGACTACTGACAGACTGATTGGTCAAATAATTGAATGTAGACTACTGACAGACTAATGGTATACTAATTGCAAATTATTGGCAGATTAACAGAAGATTGACAACAAATTAGTGCATTCCTCTTCTAAATCATTTTAGGAATGGTCATCTTTCGTAATAAAATTGTCAAGTATGTCATTTCAAAAATTATCCCTTATATATATACTTAAGGGTAATACCATTATATGGTCAAAGACTGGTAGTCAATTGAGTAAACAACAAGAGATATATGAAGGTGCAAGCATGTAATTAATTAACCATATATTTAACCTATTTTACCCTTCACATTTCTCATTCGCTTACTTGGTTTTTTTTAATTATTTTATTTTTTCTCAATTAAAAATGATACCCATGTTATTCCACTGAATATTTATTTGATTACAATAATTATTTATCTTGTCTTTATCTATTTTCTATCCACCTCTTCATCTTTCTTCATCAATGTAATTCTTCTTCTCTTTTGGTACCTTCTAACCTCAATTTCTTTCCTTTCAACGACACCATCTCGGTGGCTCCAACAAGGCCAAGATGATCTCATTACCTATTTTCAATCTGACCACTACCACCTCGGCTAAATCTTCACTCTCCACATCATTGGCATCGTTCTCGCTACTCGTCCACATGCATCTCCGATAATGGAAAATCATCTCAAAACAATCAATATACCATCATATCTCAGGTTACAGAGCCATCAACTTTTCTGCCGAAACCTAACTTCTGAGATTCTCCATTTTTTCCCAAGTAAGATCTTATTCTCACATTCATTGTTGGCTTCTCAAGATCAAATTCGATTGATCTTGCTCTATGGATTGATTAACTGAGCGACCGCTCTAATCCAACATTTCAAGTTATTGCTTTGATCTTGTTCTCACATCTGTCAGATCTCAAATATTTGTATATATCATATGTGTACACATATATGATATCTCAGTTTATGTATGCTTGCTTTAATTTTTACAAATCTATATTCTTTAATGGAGGTATATATTTTTATGTGAACATATATATATGTAGCTTATATTGAATATATACCAGAACTTGTATGTTTATCTGATTTTATTGTATATCTAAATCACGATATAGAGTTCACATTTAAATAAATAAATTATTTTCGATAAATATTCATCTATCACCTTAGTTAGACCTTAAAAAATACCATTTGAAATTATCTAGTTATCTGATTTCATTAGATATCTAAATCACAATATAGAGTTCACATTCATATATGTACATCATCTCGGATAAATAGACATCCATCACCACACTTAGATCTTACAAAACATTATTTAAACTTGTCTGTTTACCTGATAACTTTTTACTATCCTTTACTGCGCAGGTATGGCTACCAATGATCTCCTGCATCGTCTATTTACCGATCATCATGAGCCACTGGGTGGCAGGGTCAACTCGTACTTTAAGCTTGAATCAATTGGTGCTGTTCTCAAAGCCCTCGCACCGGAGGAACTGAATGTCATCTGTCTGTGCTTTAGAAAGCTGCTTGGCTTGTACCATAAAACCGCTCCATCTGTGAAACTTACCCACTTTCTTATAACCAGACAGTCTAACACTCTCAAAAAGCATGAGATTTGGTCTATATTCGGGGGGAAGCCAATCAAATCCTCTCTACGCGAGTTTGCGATTGTCACAGGGCTTAAATGTAGTTAGATATCTATAACATATTGTAAACTTAAAAGTAAATAGTTTTCCCATTCATAGATGTAATTACCTATTATATTAAATAATACTCCAAAACAGCTCGTAATCGTCCCTTAATGTTAGTAGACAACTACAACATCTTGTACACTTACATTTAGTTTACTTTACTCATTTATCATTATAAACCCCCATCAAACACGTTACAATATAAGTTATATGTGTACGTTTTTCTTTATACATAAAACCACCCATCATTTTGAATAACACTACAAACTAGATAATAACCATCTATCAAAGTTAGTAGATAACTAT